TCTCACAAGATGCACTCAGCGCTCAAATGTGTATAGGCTAAGTATATAAAGTGTACTCTCAAGTCAAGACAATGAAGGATTTTACCATAAGCTTGCAAATATATCACGCTCATCCACCCAAGAATCAATATGAATACACAAAATCGAAGAGTTTAAATGGGTTGTAATGGGGCTTGGGTAAGGTGGGATAAAATGACATATAAGGCTATGAGAATCAAAGCAATCATACAAACTATTCATAAACGGAGCTCAACCTCAAAAGAAGTCATTTTGACTGTCTAACTTCATCAAATGTATCTAACATAAGAATAAAATAGCGCAATTCTCTTCATTGTCATTCTCTCCAATTTTTTTCACTTTTTCTCTTTTTTTTTCGTTTTATGAGTTTTTCGATTTTTTACCTTTTTTTTCTTTTTTTTTTCGCCTTCTTTTTCAATTATTTTTTTTCGGAGAGAAGAAAAGAACTATTACATATTAGATAACTAAGCTTCAAACAGACCACAGTCAAGTCTACGCCCATAAGCTCATCACTAATACAAAGAATTCATATAATTGCATCAATTCAAGGTTCAAAATAGGATATCAACAAAAAGGATATAGTGACTTGTAACGTGGCTAAATCCAAAGAAAAGGCTAAGGCTCAAACTTGGCTCACTAGGGGTCAATTTAAAAGGTAGGCTTCCAAGAAAAAGGCTAAAAACAAAGGGCTAATCTTAATACCCTTATTAAGATATTGTGCACCCAAGTCATCAAAGGTAAACAAAGACGTGCATACCAAAGCAAGTTCTAGAAAAGCCGACTAGTCATGACAACACACAATCAAAGAAATGGAGCATGATATTAAATGTATGCTCATAGGCTCAAATCTCACCAAAAAATAAGGCAATATGTGTCGAATCACATGCATTCGTCCGTCAATTAACCATCAAGAGTAATCAATCACCAAGTAGCAACAAGGACTCCAAAATCATTTTCATGTGCAAATAAAATCATTTTCACCGGATTGGCACCAAACGAATCAAGAATGACCACAAGAGAAGCAATAAATAAGACTTAACACCTAAGATAATAAATAATCTCGGAAAAACATCTCAACAATATTATAGACGACCAAAGATATATATAAGGATACGCAAAACCGAACATCGCAAATGACACCCAACCCCACACTTAAAAATAGACATTGTCCTCAATGGCACCAACTTATTCATCAAATAAAATATAGAAAATAAACGCAAGAGAAATAGAAAACTCCCCTGATTGAGCATCCGGTTGCATATTCTTCCCAGCTGAAGGCCCGTTTTCATTATGCTTGGCTACTCGTCATGGCTCAGCCCACCGAACTTGAAATCCTCCACGCTTATTTAAAGGGTTGAGCGGACAGCAACCAGCTTCATTAATCGGGCCTAAACGTACAACTGATGGTGGTGATTTTAGCCATTAATGCTTCTAGGACAAGAGGAAGTCGCACGTTCTGCCGGAAAATTAAACGTGAAGATGTGGACGGAGGACGGGTGAGACAGAGGTGGTGGCATGACTGAAAGTGGAAGAGTTGTATGTGTGTGGGGTCGCTGGTCTCAGCAATGGATCGAACAGCCAGTGAACGAAGGATTGACAGCAAATTTTAGAGGTTCAGGGGTTCCTCACGATGGTTTCAATCGGCGGTCCTGAACGGAGATGACGTGGCTCATCAGGAAAACTATAGTCAACCGAATTTTTGGTCGTCTTTCTGATTGGAACCTCCGCTGATGTCGGCTTCTCGCGGTGTCCCTGAAGGTCGCGTTTTCCACCAGAGAAATGCAATGGACGGTCTGTTAAGCCGGAAAATGAGCAGAGGGTCTCGCTCGATAAGAAGCAGCGGCAACCGGAATTGGAATCGTCGGTGGTCGGGCTGGGAAGCAAAGTGCGCAGGCGTGTGCTCCGAGAGCAGCAGCAACGGCTCCCGGTTATTGGTCTCCAGCAGTGGATTGAACAACTCGTTTCCTCCGCCAATCGGGTCTGGGCGTGGAATATCTCACGAAGATTTTGGAACAGTGGCAAGGTTGAAGCTGGTGCAATCCTTCCCGAGAGAAGAGCAGAGGACAGTCGGACCTGCTGCGTTATTGAATTTTGTGATCGTTCAACGGCGGTCATATCTCGGATTGCGGTCGGGGAGAACTCCACTCGCCGTAAAAAGAATAGCAGGTTCGTCGGGAGAAGAGCAGTGGACATCAGAATCGCTGATTTGTGCAACCTTTCACGGGAGATGAGCAGGGGACTGTCCGATTGCTGCTATGGCGGTCTCACGGCCGGTTGACGATGGTCTCGTTGACAGGAGGGTCACGCGCGGTGGTTGGGAATAGGAGTGTCGCGGTTTCGCGACGTGTGCTCGGAGGAAGATAGCCGCGGCTCACCGGTCGCTGATATTGACGGCGCTTGCCAACAGAGAAGATGAAAGATGGACGGCAATTGAGATTTCTGTGCCTGAGATAAAAAAGCTAGGGCTATGAGAGAGAAGAAATTAGGAAGGAGAAGAGTGCCGATTTATTTGATTTTTCGTTTTTTTATTATTAAATAAAAGCTGAAAAACCTGGTAGTACACCAGCCCAACAGGAACGAAAATTGATTAAGACGTGGTCACGGCTTAAATGAAGAGAAATACTATATTCAACGCGTGACTACGTCTTATAAAAAAATCGTTCCTACCTTAAAATTATTTAAAATTCCTATCAAACATAGAAAAATAAAAACCAAATACTACTAAAAATATAAAAATCAAGTAAAAGAAATAATAATAAAAAAATAAAAATTTGGGTTGCCTCCCAGAAAGCGCCTTTCTTTAAGGTCTTCGGCTAGACATTATTTTCAGAACTCAACCAATTCCTTTTTTAATGTTTTTCAACACATGCAAAAGACTTTGTTCTTGATTCTTGATCAAATTCTCAACAATCACTAGTGGCAATTCTGACACCTGCAAAATAAAATATGAATCGTTAGTACGAGTAACAGGTGATATGGTCTCAGTTAGAGGAAAGCAATACGATTCATATAAGCTATCTTGAAACTCTAGTGAATTATCAAAGGTTGAATCATTGAAAAGTACAACTTTCAACTTATCCAAATCACTTGAGACAAGATTTTTTGGCACTTCAAATTCATTAACACCCATAAAATTACTAGAAGGCATATCACTTTGAGATTCAAAAACAACAACTTGTTCAGATTCCTCCATGAATTCTCGCTCCAGCTTAGAAGATTCTGTCAACTCTGTAGCACAACTCGAGGTATCTACCACCGTTTCTGATGAAAATTCAACTCGAGATGCGCTTTTGCTCACTGAGGACACAAGTTGATCTAGTCGATCTGCTAGATTCTTAAGACTGCTCCTAGTCTCTTGTTGAAACTGTAAAGTGCTAAGTGCAAACAACTTAACAATTTCTTCAAGAGATGTGATCGAACTCGATATATGCTGTTGTGGGGTAGCAAAAGGTGTATAAGGCGAGTAATCGCCCCACCACTCAGAGTTGCAGCTATCATAAAATTCATCAAAGCTACCTCGTTGCGGTTCTTGAAAATTTTCAACTTGAGAATGCCCTTGAGGTTCATATAGAAACGTTGGGCAGAAATGAGTTGGGTGTTGAGAGTCGCCACAAATTCCACAAAACTCAGATTGGCATGTGCTTTCCACATGATAACCATTTTGCTCGAACTGCTGAGAATAAAACTCCATGAAAATTAAGCCTCTTGCACAAAAGAATAGTGCAACAAAACAAGTCTAATTAGAAACCAACCCCCGGCAACGGCGCCAAAAATTGATGGGTGTCGAATCCAACAATAATAAATTCCT